CGGCGTATAAGACAACCCCCTAATTTTACAGTTAAAACATAGGTTTAGGCCTATATTCGCTGTATAAGACTATCCCCCACTTCAAAGAAAAGACTTACTTTGCCATCAAGATCTGCAGGTAATTTTTGTGCAATTTTGGTCTTTTGCCTCCATTTTCAGTTGACTTTTTTTCGTTTCAAAAGTCATCTTATACGCCGGAAAATATGGTGTATATATATATTCATTCCTGTATTAATTTCTTTGTTTTGTTCTTTCTTTCTTTTTTTTTTTAATATATTTTATTTATTTTGTACAGAGAAGAAGGGAGAGAGATAGAGAGTTAGAAACATCGATGAGAGAGTCATCAGTCAGCTGCCTCTTGCACACCCCCTACTGGGGATATGCCCACAACCAAGGTACATGCCCTTGACCGGAATCGAACCTGGGTCCCTTCAGTCCCCAAGCAGACGCTCTATCCATTGAGCCAAACCGGTTTCGGCTGTTTTGTTCTTTCTTGGTGTTAGTAAATATTATGAAGTTTTGTTTTATTTCAGGGAAAACTATTTACGACTTCAGTCTGTTATCTTCTTATTCTCTACCCACTGGATCCAATTCCTGACCAAAATTATATGAGAAAGATGTGAGAAATAGTTTTGGAATCCTGTGGCTACTTTATTATGCTGGTATCTCTGTCTCCCCTTTATTCTACCCAGCAGTGGGAGTCTTGTTTACAGATTTAACCCTCCAAAACCTGTTTCATATCCTTCCAATTTAACTGTGTACATGGTCACTGTTACCAACATATTAGATTATTATATATTCGTTTTTTTAAAATATATTTTATTGATTTTTTACAGAGAGAAAGAGAGAGGGACAGAGAGCTAGAAACATTGATGAGAGAGAATCATTGATAAGCTGCCTCTTACACCCCCCCCACTGGGGATGTGCCCACAACCAAGGTACATGCCCTTGACTGGAATCGAACCTGGGACCCTTCAGTTCACAGACAATGCTCTATCCACTGAGCCAAACTGGTTTTGGCTATTATATATTCTTAATGTAGCAGTCACTATTTCTTAAACTACAGGTTATAATTGAGAAAAGATGATAGTTTTCCTTGGGAGGGGAAATACTATTTAGGTTAGTGTCTTAGTCTAAAGGAAATTAAGTTAGAAGTTAGGGGGGGGGGAAATGGAACAAAGGATTCTTGATGAATAAAACATTTTTAGTAATTATCTTGAATATATTAACACAACATGGATTAGAAAAATTATATACATTATAGCATTAAATAAACAAATGCCATTCATATTATGAAATTCCTTCAAATCCCAACTTTACTTTAGTTAAAAATATCACATATTTATTAAGTAACACTTTACTGAAGTGTATAGTTTAAATATAATAAAATCCAAACATATTAAGGGCAATTTTTGATATGTTAAAAATATATTTAACTATGCAATCACTACCACCAATCCACATATAGGAGATTTCCATCTGTACAGAAAGTTACCTCCTACTCCTTTGTAATCAATTAACTATAGCCAAATGAGAATCTAATTCCTATTACTAAATATTCCTCTTGCCTCTTCAGGAAATTCATAGAAATGGAATAAAAATTATGCATTTCAATGTCAGGTTCTATTCACTTAACATGTTGTTTTTTGATATTCATGTTCACTTAACATGTTGTTTTTTGATAAAGGAAACTAGTCCATCCACTTTTATGAATGAGTAGATCACAAGATGTTTACCCATTTATCTATTGATGGATATTTTTGCTTTTGTCCATCATCATGAAGAGATGACTAATGGATGAGAATAATGCAAAATGGTTATTTCAAATAAAGCTGCTATATATTCGATTGTGTCCACCACCCAATGTAGCATAAGTCTATGTGTAGACATATGGTTTAAATTCTTTTGGGTAATCATCTACCAGTGAAAGTGAACATTTAAGATTTTGAGAGATTAAAGGCTATTTTCAAAAAAGTAACCCCTTTTTACATTCCCAGAAGCTGTGTGTGATAATTGCAGTTACTCTTATCAACACTTGGTATTAATAGTCTTTTCAACTTCAGCCATTATAATGTGTGTGTATTGTTGTGGCTTAAATTTCATTTCTCTGGCAACCAGTTTTTTTATACAATTATTGATTAACTAGAGGCCCAATGCATGAAATTCATGCTCAGGAGTGGGGGTTCCCTCAGCTCAGCCTGCACCCTCTCCAATTCAGGACTCCTCTGGGTATGTGCAACTGCCAGTTTAGGCCTGATCCCACAGGGATATCCCTCTCACAATCCGGGACCACTGGTTCCTAATTACTCATCTGCCTGCCTACCTGATCACCCCTAACTGCCCCAATGCCAGCCTGATTGCTCCTAACTCTCTCCCCTTTCCCCTGCCAGCCTGGTCACACCCAAATGACGCCCTCTGCCCACCTGGTTGCCCATAGGTGCCTCCTAGCTGGCCTGGTCACCCCTCACTTCTCCCCCCAACCACTTCTCCCCCCAACCTCTTGCTGCCTGGTCACACCCAGTTGCTCCCTCTCCAACATTTAGGACATCCATAATGATTACTTCTGATATGTTTTAGAAGTTTCTTCTAGTCTCTGTTTTTATGAAATTGCTTTTAACTATATTTCTTCCGATTATACTATATTTAGAATTCAATCATTTCCCTTTCTTTCTTCAAAACTATTTTAGATTGTATGTGAAGATATTGAAATAATGAGGTTGATCTGAAGACTGAAAAGTAAAAACACACACTGGAAACAAATTAATACAAGGGGCCATTTCCTCTTCCTCTGTAGGGCAACCCATATCAGATTTATTCCTTTCTGTAACTTTCAAAATCTACTTATTGCACCCTATCGTTCTGAATTGGGAACATGGAGCTAGTTTTCCTTCTGGTCTCAGCGTGTTTTCTAGTTCAAAAAATAGGATTTGTATCACATAATAGAGAGCGAATGAAAATCCTGCAGTCAGCATCATCTAAACTAGGCTGAAGTTAAAAAAACAGAGACATAGAGGAAAATTAGAATGTGTATATGCTCCCAAAGGTTAAGAAAGGGATGTGATTAATTTTATAGAGCAGTTTTGTTTGGCAGCTTAAAAAAGGCTGATGCTCCGTATGTAACAATCACTAAAAAAAAAATTGTCTTTGTGATTCATATTGCTTTGAGAAAATAATACATAGACATAGAATGAATGAAATTACATTAAGTCACTTAAATTATGCTATAGAATAATTGATTGCATTATTTTCCTTTTTAAATATTCCTAGGGATAAAAATTAGCATCATTATGTAAATAATATTGTCTTAGGAACTTTAGGTTTTGTTATAATAGTTTACTTTAAGAATCAAGGTCGAAAATCTTTTAAGTTAAACAGAATGTTGATAAAAAGAGTTTGGAAACTAAGAGGTAATAATACCCTGAAAATAGGACATTTTTGGTCAAGTAATTATATTTTATCTACCTAATATTACATTTCAGGAAACAAAGATGCCTAAATTATTAAAATTTAGAGATTTTTCTTCTAAGTTCTTCTTAATAAAAATTGATATTACCAATGAAGAAGTTTTAATGAAGTCTGAAAAACTTTAATCATAATTTTTACAATTGTTTTTTAGATTACATACAATGTCTGGTTTCTTCTTTGACAAACATAAACACTTCAGCTATTGTAATTGTATTTACTAGGACAAAATAATAATGAAAAGGAATATATTCTTTTTTGTACTTCTCAACCTTATCTAAAAAATAATACAAATGGGTCCTGGCTGGATGGCTCAATTGTTTGGAGAATTATCCCATACATCAGAAAAACTGTTGTGTGTTTGATTCCAGTCAGAGTACAAACCTAGATTGTTAGTTCCACCTCCAGTTGGGGCCCATTCTGGAGGCAACCGATCAATGTCTCTCTCACACATTGATGTTTCTTTCTCTCTCTTCCTCTCTCTCTAAAATGAATAAAAACATATTCTCAGGTGAGAATAAAAAAAACTAACAAAAAAAAAACACTCAAATTTATTTCAGTATATAGATGATAAAAATAATTTAAATATATAACTGAGTTTTAACACAGACTTGACATTTAATACATTAAAAAATAATAAAGGGGAGAGATCAACCAAAAGGTTGTATGCATGTATATAAGCCTAACCAATGGATACAGATACCAGGGGTGTGAGGGTATGAGTGGGGGTGGGGAGGCAATGTAATATCTTAATCAATAACGGAAAAAAAAATAACAAAAATGTTGATACTTCTAATTCATTATACACAACACAACTTTACTGCTTTCCCTTTGAATGTTTGTAAATTTAAAGTAAGCCAAAGACAAAATAGAAATTTACCACAAATTAAGAGTAATAAATAATTAAGAACAAATTATAAAGAAGAAACTCTTCTGCTATTAAGAAATCAACCAGGTGTTGGTTCTCAAGGGATTTTAGAATTGTAGAGTAAAATATGTATTCATGCTGAAACGGTTTGGCTCAATGGATAGAGCGTCAGCCTGCAGACTGAAAGGTCCCAGGTTCAATTCCAGTCAAGGGCATGTACCTTGGTTGCGGGTAGTGGGTGTGCAAGAGGCAGCTAATCGATGATTCTCTCTCATTGATGTTTCTGGCTCTCTATCCCTCTCTCTTCCTCTCCGTAAAAAATCAATAAAATATATTTAAAAAAATATGTATTCATTAACATTTGCAATTTTGTCTAAATAAAGCTAATTAACTAATCTTACATCCAACTCTACTTGAATTCACATAAACTTGTTTAATTTATAGACACATAAACTATCTTAACTTCTAAAATAAACTTTCCATCAAAACAAATGAATAGATTTCTAACCAGAACAGTTGAGCTGCTCATAGTATGCTTCATAAATTTTCAAAATTCTTTCATTCTTATATTGGCATAAGCTTAAGATTCCTTGATCTAATATATATATATATATATATATATATATATATATATATATATATATATATGCAAAAAATATTTGAATCTTACCTGTAACAAGAAAGCTGCATCTCCCCGCTCCAGCTTCATTTATGATGCTACAGTTATAAACCCCATAGTTTTCATTGGAAAGACTCTTCACCGGATACTCTGTGTACTCTTGAGAGTCAAACTGACCTGTCCGCAATAATTTGTTGCCTAAGCGCCACTCATAGGTCAGTACCCGTATGGGATAGGCTCTCAGAACCCGGCAGCTCATAGTGACACTTCGCTCTTGTCCTTGACGGATTTCCAAAAACGCTGGTTCCACAGCAGGAGGATCTGCAGGAAAGAAATGTTAAAACAGATAAAATGTGTTGCAATAGCTAATGTTATTTTTTTTTAAGAATATGTTTATATTGGAGAGAGAGAGAGAGAGAGAGAGAGAGAGAGAGAGAGAGAGAGAGAGAGAGAGAGAGAAGAGGGATAAGGAGAAAAGAGAGAAACATTGATGAGAGACATACATTGATTAGCTTCCTCTAGCACACCCGTAAGTGGGGATCTAGCTCATGATCTGGGCATGTGCCCTGACCAGGAATCGAACCTAATGCCTCTCAGTCCATAGTCAGTGCATGGGAGGAAGCTCAACCAATTGAGCCACACTAACCAGAGTAAGGCAATAACTATTCTTATTGTGAAAAACTATTTTAAAATATATCCAGCAACAGGGAAGGAGTATAAGAGGTGAATGGAGTCATATTTAGGCACAGGAGTTTCAGCTGGGGAAGGGTGGAGGCACAGGATAAGATGGTCCAACATCCACATGTGGCTTTTATTTTATTATTCATTTATTTATTTTTAATTAATTAATTAATTTTTTTTAATTTGGGAGGAATATTGGCTGTGGAGGTCCCAGTGAGGAGCAAGAAGTCCCAGCCCTTCATCAAGGGCTCCTTGCTGGGAAGGAAAGTCCTTGTAATTTTGGTCTGTAAAAATCAGAGGGAAATGAGGCTGAAGGAGACAGAAGGGTTGTAAGATTCCTAGGCAGTTCCTCTTAAAGGGCCTGTGCACAAAATTATTTGGATCCAGGGCCATATAACGAGGAACCAAACTGTCTGGCATCAGGACAAGAACTGGGGGCAGCTTTCTCATAGACAAAAGTGCTCACATAGGTCATCCTTCCTCTGCTGAGATCTCCACCCCCAGATAAAAAGCTTTACAGACAAGAAAAATGTGAAGGAGTTCATCACAACCAAATCAGTATTACATGAAATGTTGAATGATATTCTTGAGGAAGAATTGAAGAAGAAAAAGAAGAAGAAGAAGAAGGTAATAGCAATACATACATATATATATATATATATATATATATATATATATATATATATATCAACAATTGAATATAAAAGTTTAAATAAACGAATAAGGAATCTAATGAAGAAAATATACTGACTACTGGACCCTATAGGACACATACTACAAAAGGGAAGACGTTTATGGTACTCACAACAATAAATAAATTTTTTTTAAAGAGATGATTTAAAAAAAAAGCATAAGCAGGCAAAACTAAGAGAGTTTAGTGTTTTTTGTTTTGTTTTGTTTTGTATTTTGTTGTTTTTGTTTGTTTGTTTTGTTTTGTTTTGTTTTCTAGCTGCCTCCCAGAAAAGATAGCCATGACTATGTTTGGATTATACTGTTAGGAACCAAATGATGTTCCTATGAATATAAAATTCGGAGTCTCCAAACTAGTATGAAACCTTGCAGCAGATAAAGACATTGATGAATTATAATTATTTCCATGTGAGACTCAGTCCCCAGGCTTTGGATACCCATTTTTAATAAATTAAGTAACAAGGTATCCACATTTATTTTCTAAATTATTTGTCCTGAACTTATCTGACTGCCAGTCACAATGCCACAAACTTTACTCATTGTACTACCGATGAATGTGATTTTCAACCCATGGCAACATGTTCATTTATCTGGCTTAACTGTGATTTTTTTTCCATGTAATTAAAACTTGCTACACTTCGTACCTACTATATTTGTTTTTGATAGGAAGATTTATAAAAAGTGTTACATACTTCTCTCATTATTTAGAGTAGTCAAATTATAGTCCTTTCTTAATTACTCCAAATGTTCATAATTAATGACAATTACTTCCTGGGTGCTAACAATGGACTTTATTTAATTAAAGAAATTGTATAATATGTGACCACTCAAGATTGCACTGAAGAACACAATCATGTCCTTGATTAAGTATTTATAGCAACCTCTTGAGCTGTACAATACAAAACTGTACAGCTCTATCTGTTATCCCTTCCAGCAAGATACTAGAAGATTATAGGACTACCATACCAAATGTTCCCTGTCTCATATTCTTTTCCTGTTATTCCATACTAGGGGCGCAGTGCACAAAATTTGTGCATGGGGGTGGTTCCTCCACCCAGACTGACCCCTCTCACCTACTAGGGGCCCTCAGGAATGTCCTACTGAGGTGACTGGGCTGATCAGGGGATGGCACCTTCCCCATCACCCCACTGCTGTGGCCACTGTCAGTCACCACAGCCACCAAGGTGTTTTCATCAATACAGACTCCAGTCCTTTCACCAAGAAAAAATGACAACTTTCTTTAGGCATTTTAAAGATGTGTCTTTCATAGCATATGACATTTCTTTCTTTTTTTCTTTCTTTCTTTCTTTTTCTTTTCTTTTTTTTTTATCCTCACCTGAGGATATGTTTCCATTGACTTTTAGAGAGTGTAGAAGAGAAAGGGAAAGATAGAAACACCAAGGTGAGAAGAACACTTTGATTGGTTGCCTCCAGCATGAGTCCTTACCTGGCCCCCAGCTAGGGAGGAGCCTGAAACCTAAGTACATACCCTTGATCGGAACCAAACCAGACCCTGCAGTAGGCAAGCCTAGGCATTATCCACTGAGCCAAACTGGCTATGGCAGGATATGAAATTTCTTACCCTTCTAGCAACAGACCTTCGTTTGTTTTTTTCTCCAGAAGTGTGGTGCAAAAACCCTAGATCACCTTTTTGGATTCTTATACCCAAGTTACTAAGAATATTACCAGTGGCATACAGAGAGCTTAGCCAATGAGCGGTCAGAAAAGGTGTTTCCTCTTTAGTTCACACCAATCCCCTCCGATCTCTGACTCTGCCTCTGTCAAGGCCTAAAACCGCTGGGCTTGGGAAGGGCCACCCAGATCCCTCAGATCACCGGCTCCTCCAATCAATGGCTTCTCCCCTGCTCAGTCCTCAACCCTCTGGCCGGTGCTTGGGGCCTCAGCAGGGGACGTCCAGCTCCCTCCAATCACTAGTCTCCACCCCTGCCCAGGCCCCAAGCCTCTGGTCCTGGCTTGGGGCCTGGGCAGGACATCCCCAGCTCCCTATGATCACTGACTCCTCCCATGCCCAGGCCCCAAACCTCTAGCCAAGGCTTGGGGCTTGGGCAGGGGACCCCAAGCTCCCTCCAATAGCCAGGCTCTGCCCCTGCCCAGGAGCCCTTTGGCTCAGGCCCTTCTCAGGTTGCTCAGGACCCACAGGGGCCTACCTTGGAGTGACCTGGGTGCTGAGAAAATTCCTGGAATCCAGGCTGCTGGATGCCTACTATGCAAATTAGCCTCCATCTTTGTTAGGTTAATTTGCATACTCACTCTGATTGGCTAAGGGTGTAGTAGAGCTACAGTCAATTTACATGTTTGTCTATTATTAGGCACTAGAGGCCTGGTGCACAAATTGTGCACAGGTGAGGTCCCTCGGCCTGGTCAGTGATTGGGGCTGATCAGGGTTGGCCGACCAGGGGGAGGAACTGTGAGAGGGTGACTGTGGGAGCACACTGACCACCAGGGGGCAGTTCCTGCATTGAGCATCTTCCCCTGGTGGTCAGTATGCGTCATAGCTACCGGCCCATTGTCTGGTCATAACAGTCGCTTAGTTATTTTATATATATATATATATATATATATATATATATATATATATATATATATATGATGCATTCTATACTATTGCTGTTTTCACTGCCAATTAACTATTTGTTGAAAGAAGTTCTTGCTTCTTTTAACAAATATCTTTAAACTGTCTTTCTAATTCTAGTTTTATTTAAGAATTTAATGTGATTTTTTTCTTTAAAGAACTTTTTATTGATTTCAGAGAAAAGAAGGGAGGGGAAGAAAGGAACATGGATGAGAAACATTGATGGGATGCATTCTGCGCATCCTCTACTGGGACTCAAGCCTGTAACCAGGGCAACTTCCTGGTGTATGGCATGTTGCTCAACCAACTAAGCAACACTGCCTGAGCTTGAATTTACTGTTTTTACTTCTTCCTATATAACTGCTATGAATTTTTAAGAAATGAATGGTTAAAAAAACATCCTGTCTATCTATAAGTTTATGGCCTAATAAAATAGGCAGACATACAAATAGCTAATTTATAAAATTGAAGTAAAACAAACTATTCTAGGGCAGAAAGTAAAGAACTGAATAACACTTAGGAGGACTGACCTCCAAGTGTTTCAGCAAGGCATCTCAAAGAAGGTGATATTTTAGCTGTGATTTTCAGATATAAAGAAAATGATCAGTTTGATAAGCATTTGTAGACATTCCAGGTAGGAGGATTAGTTTGTGCAACTAATATAGAGATCTAGAGGTGGAGAAGTATTCAGAGAAATAGATATGAGTTAGCATCTCTTTTCAACAGCATGTGCTTATATTCTATTTTTCCCCAGAAAGTCTGATGATTTTTCTATTTTACTCAGAACTTTAAGCACTTTATCCATTTATATTTCCTATAACAACTGGCATATTTGGATACTAATATACCTTTTTATTTTGTACTTTCTATTTATTTTGTTTTTTATTTTTCTTATTTTAGATTGATGGATTACTTCTTTATTTCAGTTTTTTCCTGCTACTAGTTGTGAATTTAATTATTCTGTTTCTATAGTTTTATTTATTTTCCAAATGCATGCAACATGCATCTTTTTAAAAAATATTTTTATTGATTTTTTTTTTCAGAGAGAAAGAGAGAGAGACAGAGAGTTAGAAACATCGATGAGAGAGAATCATCAATCAGCTGCCTCTTGCACACCTCCTACTGGAGATGTGCCCGCAACCAAGGTACATGCCCTTGATGGGAACGGAAGCCAGGGCCCTCCAGTCGCGGGCCGACACTCTATACCAAGCCAAACCGGTTTAGGCAACATGCATCTTAAGTTAGCTAAAAACATCGATTCGTACCTTTACCATCCTTCTGGGCAAAGTAAGTATCTTAGAAGAGTTTTCTTATTTTATTCCCATTGCAACAGTTGTTACCAAGCCATGAATTTTAA